GGTGCAGGTGGGTACTCTGCTATATGGCTTTCATGGATACAGTTTCATTTTCCACCTGGTGTAAAAGCCATGATGTAAATGCTGGACTTGCCACCCATGGAACACTCACAGGTAACAGAGCTAACTTGTCAGAGAAATTAGGCTGTTCTGCAACTCTGCAGTGTGAACGATGGATTCTTGTGCCTCAGATCTTGTGGGACAGCAACACTTTAAAAGCACAGGCTCCCTGCCCAGAAAACCATAACTGGCAACATCTGCAAACCAATCCCTGAACCCAACTGGATAAAACTCGCTAGAAATTAATTCCCCATACCTGAAGAAAGTTCTCCTCCTGTCACACTTCTGACCTCTCCTTTCCAGCCAGTGTCCAACAAATCTTGGAAGATTTCATTGCTGAGAGCACTGAAGAAGTACATTTTCTGAAACTGGAATCCAGAAACATGCTGTGGAACAAGGAACAGCTTCCAAGTTTGCACAGGCATCAGAGAACTCCTGGACACCATCAGCTTACTTCTTTATAAAACAGGTATTTTATTTATATGGTTTATAGGGACTTCAAGGATAGTTTGTCTTTCTTCTAAGCAGTCTGGGGCTGTGATTGTACAGACCTCAGCACAGCATCTGACTTCAAACTACAGTGTCAGTTATTTTCAGATATTTTGAATGACATGAAGTGTCTACCTGTGGAGTTGGAGAAAAGGATTATGGCAACCTATCTTGGATTTAGAGAAGCACAAATCCCTTCACATCACCAATTTGAAGACAGCCGTCACTAATCCTTTCTGGAAAGGAGGGACTAATATATTTCTGTTTCAGGCCACATAAATATACTGTGCTTCTTACTTCCTGGCAGAAGATTCTCACTGCTACCAAAACAGCCTAATCCTGAGCCCAGGCCCCTGAAACTCCACTTCCAGCTGAACTGGGTATAGTTACAGAATTGTGGAAGGTGCAACCTGACCCTTGAAGGTTAAAAAAAAATAAAAATAAATAGTTAGCAGTTCATCAGAAAACTCTTGGAAATAGGTTATTCTCATATGTGCCTTCATCTGAGCAACTAAGGGCTGGAGCAACTCTCTTTTGAAGACAGGCTGAGAAAGTTGGGGTTGTTCAGCCTGGAGAAGAGAAGGCTGTGGTGAGACTTCCTAGCAGCCTTCTAGTACCTGAAGGGGCCTATAGGAAAGCTGGGGAGTGACTTTTCAAGGGCTTGTCATGAGAGGACAAGGGATAATGGATTAAAACTGGAAGAAGAGAGATTTAGGTTAGTCATTAAGAAGAAATTCTTCACTTTGAGGGTGGTGAGACATTGGAACAGGTTACCCAGAGAAGCTGTGGATGCTCCATCCCTGGAAGTGTTCCAAGGCCAGCTTGGACGGGGTGTGGAGCAACCGAGTCTACTGGGAGGTGTCTCTGCCCATGCAGGGAGGTTGGAACTAGATGATCTTTAAGGTCCTTTCCAACATAAAACATTCTATGATTCTATGACTTAATGAAACTATTTTTGCCATACTCTTCACCAAGGTTTCATTTTACTAATACCAGCAAGAAAGAGATATCGAATGAAGTAGAGTTCAGTACATCACTGAGTATCTGCATCTTCAAATATAAAGCATTAATTTTTTTACATTCAAAATGTACAACTTTTATATTCAATTAAAAATGCCCATAAGTTAGATGACAATATGCATTATTTTAAATACAGCTGTGGAAAAATAATACTTAAAAGAAGGTAACAGCAGCAAAATTCTGTCAGAAAATAGGATATTATTATGTAATTTTGAAGTGTTACTTCTTTAAGTAGGTAAGAGCAAGCAGATGGTTTAAGAATAAAATTACTGTTCTGGAACACAAAACCTTTCTGATAAAATAATGCTTACACATGCTGAGGAATTAAAATACATTATGTTGAGAACATGGAGAAAATACTAACTTTTAAAAAAGGCTAATATGCAAATATGGTCACATCAAGGTGTATTACAATACTGTACTCTACAAATGCATACAACAAAAAGTGCTTCTGACTATACTGACTGACATGCAGCATATTTGTGCTTTTTAAAGGCTTCTGATTGAATAGCTGCTGTTCACTAGGATAGCCAAAAATACTTACGTTTATCAGTCCTTTTGTGTTCTGGAGGGGAGATAAAGAGGGGAAAAGGAAGGATCTGAATGCTCAACTTAAAAATACTTCACAACTGCTTGAAAAAAACCAGACTAATGTCCATTAACCACCTCCTCTGTCAAAAGCAGACAATGTGCAAAGCATTACCAGTTCACTACTACAGGGAGAAAAATTACTTAAATACTGCATGAGTCACAATGCAACTTCAGAGAATGCTGGAGATACTCACATTCTCTAACTGGAAAATTACTCGCCTAATACATCATCTCAAACACAAGATGATTCTGGAATAACTTTCCCAGGCAATGCCTGTTTCACGTTGAGAAACAGAACAGTGCTTTCACTTCTTAATGCAATTGAACATATTTTAATCTATATATTTTTTCAATATATATTAAAATATATATTATATATATACACACATACATATATACTTATTTATATGTAAAATGCAAATGCAAGTTTAATAATTTAAAAATAAGTTGGCATTCTAGATGGGGGTCCTGTGTGCTTTAAATACTTATATCCTTTTGTATGAGCTCATTTTGGCTCAGCAAATATCATCCACAAGCTTTATCCCATTAATCCCACGATAGGTCACTCTGCTGGGTCGAACCAAGACCCCGTGGTTCGGCTTACAGGTGAAATAGCGCTTTTCCCCCACAGAGCCATCATTCTTTCCTTTGGCACTTCTGAGTTCAAGTCCCAGCCATATTCCTGGTGCAAAGTCTGCAGGACCGATGTACCTGATTGTCCCCATTTCATTTGAGCTGGTCAGAAGAACCTGAGAGCCTTCATGCAGCTTCACTGGCCCCTCAGTGCTAGCTGCAGTTGTATTACTCCAGCTGCGCTGTAACACAGAGCTCTTGGATCTATGTAGAAAAAAGGGAAAAAAAAAAGCACCTTGTTTCTACAAAACAACCAGGGCTAATCTGTAATTCAGGGAAGCGCATGGAAAAAAAACCCTCAACACCCGTAAAAAAACCCCAACAAACAAACAAACAAAAAAACAACAAAAAATTTTCAAAAAATAAAATCTATTTGACCTCATGTCACTAGCCCAACATGTGATAATATTAACAGGCTAGTACATATGACAGCCTGAAATACTTGGAAAATCAACTTTCCTTACACCTGATGCTAAGATCTACAGTATTTGCCATAGATGATAATATTGGTACATAAACCAGTACACAGCATTTTATTTGGGACCTGAAAGCGTTTAGCCAAAACAATATTTAACATGCAACAGTCAGTTAAGATCACCAGGACAAAGTCCTTTAACAAGACCCTCTGAACTTCACCCAGCTGTGTGAGAAGACAAGAATTTCAAGAATATACCGTGACAAGCAACTAGAAAACAACTTTAATGCCAACCTGAATCCAAGGACTGTACTCTTGGATACCCATGGAGAAACAGTCTACTACTGGTCCATTTTGGAAGAAGCAAAATGAACATGTGCATATTATATATGCATAAAAATTTTCTTTTGAACAAGGAACAGTAGAAACTAAGAGCCAGCCCACACAAACATTTTAAACTCTACACTCACCTAACAAAGGATTTTCTTCTGTTTATCTCCTTTTGTGATGATGCAGAAGTGGTGCTCAGACTGCGCTGAAAACCTAAGTGGAAAGATTAACCAGGTAGGACCTCTTAAAAAAACAAAAAAACTCTGTGAACTCATATTCTGCATCCATTACATTTGCTACATACTTTCCCCTCCAATTTGGAAATGAACTGACTACATTTTTCATGAAACTCGATGTCCATAACATGTTCAAATTTTCACAGAGGACAGAAATGAAATTAAACAAACCAAACTAGGGTAATTTGAAGCAGCATTTTTACAACTTAGGTAATGAAAAAGTAAAATAACTACTTCAAGTATCTAACAGAAGTTGCAGCAATTTCAGTGGTCTCCTCCCTACACCCTTTCATCAATGTCAATTCAGGTTAAGGAACAGGTTCAATTTATGGTTAAAAAAGCATCAACAGTCTTATCTCTGACACAATTATTTCTGCCAGTGTAGGGTTAATAATATCACAGTACTCTACAGTTCCTGTTACAGGCTACATTTTTAGGAAGGGACTAGCAAGACTATTTGCTGGCATTTGGGTTCCTCAAAAATCTCTTGTGCTCTCAGAGAAATGGGCTTTGTGCAGAACAGTAGCTGGCAGTAGGGTACCTAAGCCAAATTGGTGTTTTATACTCCTACCTGGAAGAGTGTGATTTATTTTACTCGATGAAATGTCTGTGAGAGAATCCAGAGAACCTGTTAGTCTGAAAAGCAATAATACAATGAAGAAGTAATTTCAACTCAACTGCTAGAATCCTTCTTGTCAAATGTTGGTTAAGTTCTGATTCTTTGCCTATTCATCCACCCCCCAAGAGACACTAACATTTCAGTTGTAAACATGCTGGTAGGAGATGCCTGGAGCAAACTAGTTTATTCAAGTTACTTGTCTTCCACTCAGCAAGAAAGCACATACAGTTTTGAGGGAACAGCTTGTCTGCGCTAGGATATTCAGAGAAAGAAAAGCAACAAGACTGAGTAAATGGATATAAGTACAGGAGTAAATAAATAGCATGTCATTCCTTAGACATTCTTCCTGACACCTAACCAAGAGACTACAAACCAAGTGGTAGATGCTTTGGTTCCTCTGTGCAGTTAGCTTGAATGAGAACAGTATTTCCAGTCACATCCAAGGGCAACACCCTTTTTATAACCAAATTTAGCTCAGCTCATCATGACTGTATCATGAAATTAAGTTGTAATGAACACAAGACTGTATCAGAAACAGAGGCCTTGGAATAAAAATACTTAAATGACTGCAAGAGAAAAGAGGGGGAGCTGCATTTTCAATTTATACTCTTTCAAAAAGCTGATCTAAACATCTGCCAGGTTTTTAATGGAGGTTATAAACTTCCATAAGCAGATGAAAACATTTATTTCTTCCATATCTGCTGCAAAACTTTGTTCCCAACCAGAAACATACTAAGAAACCATTTGGCAACATGAACATTACAACAGCTTCAGTGCTTACCTCTGTACACGAGATGGTGGTGCAAATATACCATGTCTGGGAAGACAAACGAAGTACTGCACACCTCCCACAGAACCATCATTCTTCCCGTGAGCCTTGTCCAATTCAATTCCACACCAGAATCCTACATTTCAAAACAGTAAAATAATGATATTTCAAAGAAAACAACACAGGCTTTTCTACATCTAGACAGTTGGTACAGCTGGCATTCATCCACATCAAGGAAAACAGTTTCTAGTTAGAAGCTGCATAAATGATTATTTTATATATATATAATAATCTATGTAAGGATGCAAAATTTATATAATAATAGATCTAAAGATAATTGTCTCAGCATTTCTATATGCTTTCAAGAAAATTACTGACATTTTAATTAGTGTAGAAAAAGTAAAACCCTTGATATATATGCTAAAGCTGAATAGAGCATTACTGAATATAACTATCGGCTCCTTGACAAAAAGGAGACAGCAAGGAGGAGCAGTTGTGGTTCAGGTTTCCCTCCTTCAGGCCTGACCACATGATTTGTGTCTCATCTGAGATCATCAACAGAAAAATTAAAGTTTTTATATTAATTCATTCCTTTTCTCCATCTAGCAAGTTATAATTAATACAAACTGCAAGGGTTGTTGTATATTGAGAGAAGGGTAAGAATCAGAACTAGCCAGCCATTCATCTCATACAGAACATTGAACAGGCATCAAGAAGGTAATAAACTTGATCATTCACAACCTGTGATAAACGTGAGCTAATTATGTGAAGGTGCTAAATTTCATACTCCATTAGCAGTCCTTATGCTGTCCATTCCTAAAAGATTCAAAATTTAATTGAAGTCACTTGGCACTAAAGCACTGGATAAAATGGTAAATCTAATTATCAGCTCAAGTAAGGTAGGAATGACAGCTTATTAATTAGGAGGGCTCAGTACCTCAGAAGTTCTCCCCTTCCTGTTTGCAGAATTAAATAAAGCTCTGCATTGTCACAAAAGAAAGTGTGGGTAACTTCCAGAGCTTTGATACACATCAAAATTGAAATACTTGAAAATGTATGTTACATTTTCTGTAAATAGCTGTTTTTGCATACGGTGAAGATTTGTGATTGTTTCATCCTCACTTCTTACAATACCATGTTTTTATCAAAAACACATTTGTTCCGTAACCTGAGGGGAGAGACTTCCAGTGTCGAATGGCTTTCTAATTTTACACTTACTATGTAATTTGGAAAACCAGCCCTTTTCTCATTGTTAACTTTGCAAGCAACAATATGAAGTGTGGTTGAATGATCACATGGAAGTGTAGAATCAGTTAATCATAGTATCTTAAGCACAGACTGCGTACAGTGAAACTGGGGAAGGGAGCAAGAGTGAAAAAAGAAAATAGCTTGTGCCACCATCTCGCATTCAGTCATTCTAACCTTTTTTTAAACGTTGATGCCACTAACCGGCAAGACAGAGTATTGCTGCTTACCTAACAATCAAATGGACCTCACTTAAACTAGGTACTTACACTGGTATTTAACAACTAGTTTTGCATTACTCTTGCAATAATAATAAAATTATAAGTAAGGATGGAAAGAACAGAGAATTTAATTACAAAGAACAAGTATTCAGAAATTAGTTTCCACCACTTAGAATAACTTGCTTCTGTTAGAAAACATGTAAATTTACCATAATGTTTTTCAGCAAGGGAAAGGGAGGGAGGAGCTAAAAGGGAGAAGGATGAGAAAACAGTGGTAGAGTTTGAGGCTACTTGGAGATGCTTCAAACATTTAATCTGTTGAGTTTTCAGGGTTGTTAGTTAGGATTTACATGCTCACAATTACCCTTTTGAAGATGCCAAGAATGAGAGACATACATGATGTAAGAGATGAGCTGTGGCAAAAAGGCTCACTACAAGAAGTAAGGAGTAAAGGCACATTATCTCAAAAAAACATAGCACCATGAAATTGAGGTTTTTCAGAAAGCTTTGTAACAATACCTGTAACTTCAACATAAAAATATTTCTCCTAATTAAACTGTGTTAGTAGACAAGTAAAAGTCACATTAAACCATAATTTTTTTTCCTGGCAGTTGCATTAAAGTAAAAAAGTATTCAATGAAACACAGGAGAGAGAAAGAATTTTGAGACAAACCAGTAAATATAGATGTAATTTTTTTTTGGAGGGACTGAGTAAAAACATGGAGTTGTCTTAATGTTCATATACTCACATATAAACTATTCGATATTGATTCTACAACAAACAAAAAGAGTATTGGAAATACCTGGTGCAAATTTTGTTGTCCCAAAAAATCTAACAGTGCCTGTTCTCTGCCCTACCACCAGCACTCTGTCTCCAATTTGAATTTCTCCTTCATTAAAAGGATTTTTCTTTGTGGATGGAGAACTATGCAACCCTGTTCAACAGAAGAACAAAATCTGGAATTAGTGACATATCTTCAAAATTTAAAAAGGTCTTAAATAGTGAGCCATGAGATGATTAACATGATGTTCTTAAAAGCTTAAAAAAAGTTGCCAAACTTAAGTTTATGGTTAAACTATTTCCCAAGTGTCTTTCTTGAACTATCTCAGATTCTGAAACAGCACAAGTAGTTCTGCATAAATATTTGATATAGCAGTAAACTTTCACTGGCAAAAACACACATCAATAAAACAGACCATACCGGCACTAATTCTAGATGAGGCGACAGACACTCTAGTCACTGCCTTTTTATTGCTGTTAGTGGAGTTCTGCTTCTTGCAGTAATTCTGTTTGCCTTCCAAGGAAGTAGTAGAAGAGGAAGAGCTGCTGTACACAGGAAAACCTAAAAGACATAAATGAAAGCATTCCTTCAGAGAACATATTCAGAAAATAACACATTAAACAGAAAGGAAAGCTTCTAGAAGAAGGCAGTTACCTGTTCTCTGTAGTGGACAAAATACAAACCCAAAACTAGAGCTTGTTAAGCAGGATTTACCTGTCAGGAATTACATAGATGCATCTGATCCTGCCTAGGGAAAAAGGTGATAATTTACTGCTGGAAGAGGTCTCCAAAAGGCCCTTCTTTTGTTATTATGTGAAAGTTTTTCAAACAGTCCCAAGCATATTTATTAAAATATGGGAGCATTAGTAATGAGAGATCATATTTCCAGCATCCAGTCTATTAAAGATTTGATGAGTGGAAGGAAGGTGATACTACGAGTGAATTCTTGTCTGGATTAAAGCCTACTACATTCCATTACATACTGTATTAATATTAAAATCTGTACTACAAAACAAGAATAGGAAATAAATCACTTTTATGTCAATTTGAAAAGCCTGATGTCTAAACTGTCCAATAAGACTTCGTTCAGCTTTCCTTCTTTTTCAAGGCTCTCCCCAGTTCTCACCTCTCCTACCCTCTTATATTCAAAATAAGGCATTGTACATGTCTATGACATGTACAATGTATCGGTGACTCAATGTGAAAAATTAATACAATATTGGTTATAAAACTTCCAAGAATTCTGAGAGGCTAAATAAAAACAAATTTCATTAGTTTTCAGAAGGTACTTTGATATTGATGCAGGGTTAGTCCATTCAATAAAATTTCATCCTCCCATTTGGCAAAACAATAAAGAACTGTAGAAAGGCCAATGCAGTGGGTCACAAGAAGAGCTTGGGTATCTGGGGACAGAGACCTAAGACTTTGAGATACTGGCTGCAGTTATGCTACAATGAAGAAAATGCAAATTATTGAGTAAATGGTACCTAAACAGGCAAAATTCAACTCCAAGTCCTAGGTACAAATACACACATGCATTTGCAAACACATATGTATTTGCAAGCCCAGATTTAGAAATCAGTCCAGTGACAGATTCCCAGGAGGTCAGGCCTTCTAGTAGCTCTACCTGAATGTCACTGTTGGTGCAGCAATTCAGAAACTAAAAAAAACTAAACCAGTCATTAAAAGCTTAGTTTAGTTGGAAGTGAAGAGGTGGGAGAAGGAAGAGCAGAAGGGATTTCAGCAGGTCCTATTACTCTTGAATCACATGAAACAACTATTTGTTAGATCACTCCTCCCAGGTGAGGGTTTGACCTATTCCTAAAAACCGCCCATCAGGGAGATCTTGAGACTTCCACAATGTATTTCACCACATAACTATTTGTACTGTTACAGGATTTTTTCCCCCCTAAATTACTACAGTTTTAGCTCAAGATTTCTTACTCTGGTTACACATGCAGAATGGGTTATACTGTTCTTTGTATCTGAAAGCTTCCTGTTTTATCCCTTTATTCTTCTGTCTTTTTAAACAAACTATCCCAAATTCCATCATTCTTTTCTCCTAAGTCATGTTTTATATCTCCAGCTTTGTGGTGTCTTTGAATTCTCTCCAGCTGATTCCTATTAATTGCAGATACTGTATTGTATCCATCAAATTGAGATGCTGTGCTGCCAATTAATTTCCTTGTGTGACCAGAACCTGAAGAACAAGCCATGAAGTGCTCTCCTTGACCAAAATGTTGGAAACCTCTATCTACACAGGTTTTTTTACTCACCTCTAAAAAAGTATCATATAGGACAGCGTTTAAACTAGTCTCTTCCCCAGGTCTCTTCCTCACAACTGTTCACTGAGAGATGATATAAAAGGATACTCTTCTTCAAAAATAATACACTCAGAGTCACACTTCAAATTATTTAAAAGAATTACTGCTTTTACCAACACTTTAATATTATTTTATAAACAAAACCTTGAAGGAGACCCGACTTTTACAGTTTGTTAAAGGCATCCCTGAAAGTGAGGCCTCTTAAAGTTCAAAGTTCAGCACACAAAATATTGATGCAGAAGTCACTATCCAATTCTGAAACTAGATAATTACAGAGAATGATTTATACATAAAAGGAATTTTTTTAAAGTTAGTTTTGTTTTATACATCTGAAGTTTATTATTATGAGTCTTTCATGATAAATGCTAAGACTGTTAAGTGCTGTTAGATCTTAACACTTTATTATACACGCTTGAACAAACATACAGGAGAGAATAAAAATTCCTACAAAATATATGCCTGGTTCTTCATCAAAATCTAAGCAGCAATGATAAAAGGCAAAAGCTCTCCCTCAGAAATCTAAGAAGGTAATTCTGCAGATCCTCTGTGAGATCATTTTCTAAGAGACAGCTTTCAGCTTTAAGGGCTTGTCTATATTCTTGTCCATGCATCTGGATAGAAGCTGTTGCCCAGTGAACACAGAATGCCAAACAGCCACACAAATTACCCCTAGTAAACTAAATGTCTACAGTCTGCCTGAAACTTGAATACAGTCAAGGAAGCTGTGTTGTTGGGGGTTTTTTTTATGCTGTAGAAACAGGACTTTTATGTAAGGCAGTAATAACAGTTCCTCTGCCCTACTAAAAATTTTCCTCAATATGTTAAAAAAAAATGTTTACCATCTTTGGCAGGTCCAGTTTTTCCCCTTTTATCAGCCATATAGTTGGTTTCAGAGGCACTATCTTTTTTTGCCATATTTAGGCCTATAAAAGGAATATATAAAATTAAATATATACATCCTAACAGTGAATAACAGTTTTACATCCTGTAAATATAAGTAATGTACAAAAACAATTGGACAGACTTCCAGATTAATGGATGCATAGATAAAATTGATAAAATTGTACAGTTCCTTAGACTCTTGATAAGTAGCTAGAAGATGACTGCAGAATTGTTTTGATGGATAAGCACAGATGTTAAACCCCTTAACATATTAAAACAGTCCAAACTATCTAGCCAAACACTAAATAAATTGTCTGCAAAACATTAATGTTTATATTGAAGGAGTTTTAGTTAAATGTTTCAGACATTTACATCTACTATATACACAGCATTCACTTTTCTAGCACTTAAAGTATACTATTAACTAGTATTCATTTCACAATTTCTGCATTAAAGATTACACATAAAATATTGAGAGATTTGAGACCAGATCTTCAGTCTACAAATAATGAAGTACACCAATGTGGTTTTTTTAAGAGCCCAGCTCTTAGAGCAGCAATGTTGTGATATCCGTATGAACTAGTATTGCCTCATAAGTCATAATTTATGAGTAGTAATTATGCATTTCTGACAGTTTTCTACCCAAACTCAATGAAGAACAAGCTTACCTATGACTTATCCCCTTCCTGTCATAAAAAAAAAAAAAAAAAATCACATCTTTTTTATCTAACTATAACTCTTTTTTTCTAAAAACTTGATAAAACCTATTATCAACAATCCGATTGATTATTCAAATCCAGTAGAAATTAAACATGTCTGAAAATCTCTATGAAATGTTACATTTTACTTTGCAGCTTATAACCCTATCTACAAAAAGCATATTCTTTGCAGCAATGAAGTTTAAAAGAAAGGAATATGATCTGCTGATGCACACAAACATCGCAAAACAAAAGATCTGCTTCTGCAACTTCATCCTCCCACAGCCAGGCACATTAATTCTAATGGACTTTTCAAGGCAAGAACATCTTACAGCTGAGTTTTACAGAACAATCTGGCAGCTTTCAGATTATTATTACTGGATGCAAGCTCTGCTGGGCAATGCATAACTGACTCTGATTTTTACCTAAAGCTAGAATCAAATGCTTCAAATTTACAAAGATACAAATGCAGCTTTATGACAGAAAAGGTGGCTTATGACTATACTGTCTGGCACACAAGATCTGTGACAAAGGAAATGGTCCTTTCTATTATCATTCAATGAGTTACAATCAGTCTACAACAAACATTGTTTTCAAACATTGAAAAATATTTAACAGAAAAATACAACTTGGATTTGCTCCTGTGCACCACTCCTAACAAACTGATTATTCTGAGAAGCTTTTTGTGCAGGATGTCCATTTATAAATAGCTTAAATTACTTCCCTCTCCATCTATGTAGATAGGAGTTACATAAATCATACAAAATGCTGCCAAAACGCATCTCTTCTATCAGCCTGACACATTGCTTCTATACCCTGGCAAGCTACGGAGTGTTTGGCTGCACAAGTAAATTCAATGAAACTCTTATGTACACCTTCCATCCCTTAAGCTGTGCTGCCTTAGCATGAGTCACCTAAATAGCGTTTGAAAGGCAAAACAAGTTTTAATGTGTATGTTCAATGACATTATTAAGTAGCCAGCCAAACACACATTATGCATAGTGGGCACCGTATACAGCGGGGAGGAGTCTGCACTCTTAAACACCTTGGAACCTAAACAGACAGAAAGGATGCACCATTCTTTCCTCACAAGGCAAGAACTTGCAGAGAATGATTAAGTAATTTGAATAAATTACTAAAAGACTAAGCCACAGACAGGGACTGAACCTATTACTGCAACTAGTAGTCCGAGGCTGTATTACAAGGACACACTATTCTGATTTGCCTCTGGTTTTACTCAGGTATCTTAATGAGCAGATAAAACACAATCAGTTAAATAGTTCCTTGATCATTCTGCCAGAAAACAAATTTTTTTCAATTTCTATAGATAAATTTATACATACATGTATATAGGTTACTATATAATTTAGTTTCTAGATTTTCTAATTTTAGCAAGATGTTTTAAGTCACTCAGGAAGATCTCAGTAAATGAAATCATGTTAAGTTCAGATATTTAACTGATATCACAGCCAAGGAGAAATTACTTCAAAAGCTCAAGAATAAATGTTGTGATGATCTTGTCTTTTAATGGAGTATATAAAGACTTGTATTAGCATATCAGATCACTATAATCACTAAGCAACCACACACAACATCATTCCACTACTAGTTTAAAGGCTACTGAATTTCTACTAATGAGAACCCATAGTTAATAAATACCATCTTCTCATCCCAAGTCACGAACTAATTCCAAACAAGCATTTTAATACTGAGATATACTCAACTGGTGCCAATTCTTGAAGATTAGTATCTCAATCCCGCCTCAACATACAAGCAAATACTCACCAGAACTCACTTTGGAAGTTATGTGTGTCACATCTAATTTCTTGGATTTGACCGATGATGAAGACCACATGGAAGAACTTCGTCCAGAGCTTTTTTTGTGACTAGGAGCCTTGCTTATTTTAGAAAGAGGTGCAAAGATACCTGGAGACAAAATTTTATGTGCCAATAAAAGAACCAGTAACAACATTAATGCAACAAAATTTTCTGGCTACATTAATTTATTTAGGTTTTTTTTCTCAGCCACAGTCATGGCTTGCCACGCTGTCAAAGCACTTGTAAGGTATGAAAGACCAGCTAGACAGTGAAACCAAAAGGCTTATCAAGTAACTTCAACAGAGTAATTCAGGAAGTCAGTAAAACTACTGGTTAGAATCTTGGTCCTAATGATAACATTCAGTCTCAGCTCTTACAAAACCCAAGACTTGGGGGTCCATGACCATCCATGAAATATGGATTAAAATACCTCAAGCTGGGAAGTCAGAAAACCACTAGAGGCATGACTCTCTTAAAAAGAAAGGCTAAGCAGCTAAAGAAACGTGGCCATTATTGTTACAACACAAGAAAATGGCTTCAAAAATCTAGATGGAAAACCAGAAAAAATTATTATCTCTCAGATTCAATAAAACAACTAGACATAACTAGAAGTTTTGACTGGCTGGTTGCTTCAGTAGTTTTGCACATAATTGCAGCCAAAAGATTAGTAACAGTTAAAAGAAGAAAACAAACAAAGCACTAAGAAAAAAAAGCAACAGAATTTGTGATCTGTTTTTATTCTCTCAAAAGGTTCCTATCTCTCGACACTTCTAAAAATCCAAGTTTTAGGAAAATATAAGAAAATAATTCAAGTTTATACCGTGTTTTGGTGCGCACTTGAAGTACTGCACTTTTCCAACACTTCCATTGTTCTTTCCTTCTGGTTCATCTAGCTCTATGCCAGCCCACTGGCCACTGGCAAATTCTGTAGTGCCACAAAATCTTAATGTACCAACCTATAGCAAAAAGCATCAACACAGAATAACTTTGTTAAGCAAGAATTGTTTACAAGAAAACAAAAGAAATTAAGAAGGGAACAGCAAGTCATCTTCAAGTTTTTGATCACAACAGAGAAATACAAATGTAACAATCTCCGTTGATTATTGCCACTCCTATTTTTCTATGCTAGGCTATGCATGCTCTGAAATGTATTGGTCCTTCTGCATATATTTTGTATTAAGTAAATACAGCAGTTATGTACAGAGCTCATAACACACAAGAATTGGACAGCAAGCTCCACTGCATAAAGCAGCTCCCAGTACACAAAGCACAGGAGTATATGCCTAACAAGAAGTGCTAACTTTCAGTGTCTTTCACACCAACAGTTCCAGAAGCAAGGCTAGGGATCTCGTTGAACTGGAGATTCCATGGAAATACAATGAAAAAAATAATAATCTATAAACATATATCAGTATGTATAAATACGTATATATATATTTATATATTGCAAAGGTTGAAGGGCACACCTTCACAGAATCACAGAATCACCAAGGCTGGAAAAGACATTTAAGATCATCAAGTCCAGCCTGTGACCAACACCACCACTTTGGTTAGACCATGGCACTAACTGCACATCCAGCCTTTCCTTGAACACATCTAGGGACGGTGCCTCCACTGCTTCCCTGGGAAGTCCATTCGTATGTCTAATCACCCTCTCCGTGAGGAAGTGCTTCCTAATATCCAACCTAAACTTCCCCTGGAGCAGCTTCAGGCCATGCCCTCTTGTCTTGTTGCTAGTTGCCTGGAAAAAGCGCCCAGCACCTCAATATCCTTCTTGCAGTGAGGGCCCCAGAACTGGACACAGTACTTGAGGTGAGGCCCCACCATTGCTGAGTACAGGGGGAGAATCACATCCCTACTCCTGCTGGCCACACTATTCCTGATACAAGCCAGGATGCCCTTGGCCTTCTGAGCCACCTGAGTACCCTGCTGGCTCATGTTCAACCAGTTGCCAACCAGCACTCCCAGGTCCCTCTCTGCCAGGCTGCTCTCCAGCCACTCTTCCTTCAGTCTGTGGCGCTGCCTGGGGTTGTTGTGGCCAAAGTGCCGGGCCCTGCACTTGGTCTTGTTGAATTTCATGCCATTGGCCTCGGCCCATCGACCCAGCCTGTCCAGGTCCCTCTGCAGCTTCTTCCTACCCTCTGGCAGATTGACACGCCCCCCTCAACTTTATGTCATCTGCGAACTTACTGAGGGTGGACTGAATCCCCACATCCAGGTCGTCAATAAAGATGTTGAATAGGACTGGGCCCAGTACTGATCCCTGGGGGACACCGCTGGCCACCAGACACCAGCTGGATGCAGCTCCATTCACCATCCCTCTCTGGGCCTGGTTTTTAACCAGGTTTTTAGCCAGTTTTTAACCCAGCAAAGGGTGCACCTGTCCAAGCCGTGGATTGCTGGCTTCTCCAGGAGGATGCTGTGGGAGACTGTGTCAAAGGCCTTGCTGAAGTCGAGGTAGAGCACATCCACAGCCTTCCCCTCATCCACTAGGCAGGTCACCCAGTCATAGAAGGAGATGAGATTGGTCAGGCAGGATCTTCCTTTCCTAAACCAGTGTTGCCTGGACCTGATCCCCCGGTTGTCTTCTACATGCTGCTTGATGGCACTCAGGATGATCTGTTCCATAACCTTGCCAGGCACCAAGGTCAGGCTGACAGGCCTATAGTTCCTTGGATCCTCCTTCCAGCCCTTCTTATGGATAGGTGTCACGCTGGCCAGCCTCCAGTCATCTGGGACCTGCCTGGTCATCCAGGACCGGTAATAAATGATGGAGAGCAGCTTAGCCAGTTCTTCTGTTCTTTCTTTGGACAAAATATGTAAGACTTGCATTTCATCCTTCTTGATTAAACAAAATTTTAAAAGCCAGCAGGGGTTGTAACATTACACAGTATATATTGAAACAGCCAAGTAGACTCTGTCCTGATAAGTATATCAAGAATATCAAGACAAGCCAGTCTTGCTCATGGACCTCAGTCTCCATAAATATACATTACAAGCTCACACAGTTCAACCAAACTGAAGAAAAGTTTTATTCCAGCTACTGGTTTCCCTGAACTCACGTTTCATTGGGTGTCCATTCCAGGAACATAACCTAGCAGAGCATGAGCTGGTGAACACCAAACCATGAACCCAGAAACACCTTCCTGCACAGCTTTCTACCCTGTAAGACAATTAGAATGACAGGTGCTGTTGGAATCAAGGGAGGAATCCACTTATCCTCTGGCATTTACTGTGCTAAGATTTCAAGCTTCATTAAAGCTGACACATTAGGAGATAACAGAAAGAATAAAGAGAACAGAAATCCATAAACACAGCTTGTAAAAATGCTGCCATTCCAGTGCCCTCCTCCTACCTTGCATATTCTGGAAATGAGAAATGATCCAAGAGGAAGTTAAGAAATGGGCACTGTTTGCATCATCCTGTTCTCATATTTGTAAGTATCAAGGGAGAGGGGAAGGCAGAGCTGAAATCAACTTGTCCATTAAGACAAATGAAGAAAATGGGTGGGAGTTGACATGGAAGTAATGCAGAACAATTGCTTTTACAAAAAGAAAGGAAGAGAGGAACGCAGATGTGGAAAAGTAAGACCAAAAAGCACAAGCACATTCCTCCTTCTCAACTGCTGTACAACAGCTTTGACTCCCTTAAAAAAAGCTAGCTGAAAAGCCCTGCAACTGAAAGCTGGGCAACTAACAGGGTATTCTGCAAATTTTATAATCTTTTTGATGTGACACCAAGAAATGTTAATAAATACTGAGCCCCGCTGATGTACTAAAGGAGTATTGAAAAATTGTTTACAGATACAAATGCAGACTGTACTTGTGAAAACAGCTTCTCATAGTGCAGATTTTCTTTAACACATAACTGTTCAATTCCTGTTCATTACATGCTGCAACCAGATCCCTACTGCCCTTCAGAGCTCATACTTTACAGAAAGTGTTTAAGACTTTCAAAATTGAGATATATCTCCAAAGGGAAAAAATAATCAACTGTTCAGAAATTACAAGGGTAGTACAAAGTTTCTCATCATACCTTGTGTCCTGCAATAACAACACGGTCTCCCAGTTTCAGGCCAAGTGACAAAAGCATGGCCTTGCCTGTAACATGATCATAGTTTGGGATCATGGCTTTTGAGATGTCACATGAAAGAGGCACTGCATCCACCAACATCTGCTTGATTTCTTTCGCACTGGCTGCTGCATCTGCCATTTCTAGTGGCATATCTACTGGATCAGGAACCACATCTGCTGGAATCTGGCCTTTGTCATTCTGAAGAAACAAACATAGCACAGAATTTAACATTGTGACAAGACAAAGCTGATCAGGCAAAACCAGAGCAGAAAATTAAGTTTTTGAACCCTTTTTGTTAGAAATTTTTCCTATAATATAAACAATTATAAAAACATCTACATTTTCAAATAAAGATGCCAAAGCATCCTTAGGTACATAAATTAGCATTTACAGTGTCTTATTTTCAAAAGTGCTAACTTACAAAAATTTGTAATCTTAAGAAATTTTTCAGTACTCAAAACACATGAAAAAAAACACCTGTGTATATCTGTGTATCTGAACACAAACTTAGGAAAGCAAGCTGTAATTCTGGTCCATAATGCTAATATTGTAAAGCTAACACCTCCCGAAGAATTTACCAAGTTTATAGTTTACTCCTTGGTGAGGTTTATTCCAAATGTAAGACAGAATTTAATTAATACATGTTGCATGTATAGAATACACAAAGTTGATGCCTCACATAAATACCTGAATAAATCACTTCAGGTTTATTTAGATACATGGACTAATACATGAGAAATTCATTAAGGACGGAGCCCTTTCCCACTCTCAGGGAGCAGTGACTGTGATTCCCCACACATCCTATGTCACACTCACCCTAGGCCAGAAATGTTGCATTACCAGCTCATCTGGAGTTAACCTTCACTCAAGACCAGCTGGGCTGTCAGACTGTTACAATGGCAAACTCCACCTGGGCTTTCTTCAGCACAGGCATTAGTATGGATCTTCACCTATCTGCAATTTTCCCTAAGTTTGTGGAAACAATGTTTTCAGGCTTCCAAATATGTCTCAGCTGACACCCTGGACTCAGAATTTACCAGAAGCTCAAATAGGGAATGACACAGAACAAGGCTGTATTTGCTTCATTTCCTTAAATAACAGACGAAAAGCTCAACCTTCCCTAAGCTCACTATAAATCTCCCTTCTTAACAGAAAACCATAATCCTTACTCAGCCTTTACACTCTGCTGTCCTCATATAAGCAAACTCTACACTCTGTCTCTGGTCAGAACTTTATTGTGGGACTAAAGAATTAAACATCTACCATTCCTTTAAAATCTGAAGTCATTCTGTAAGTAAAAGGTCAGCCCCATTCACATTGCAGTGCCTTTAAAATAGGGTTAAAATCGAGTGGGGAGTTTGTTTTGAGTTTTTAGTAATTACATTAGCAATTGTTTTGATTACACCAGTCTTGCAATTCCCACCAGGTGCCCTGCAAATCTTGTGTCAAAATAAGGGAGGGGTAGAGGTGAGAGAAAAAGGGAAAAGTGGGAACAGTGCCTTTCCTCAAGGGCAGAGCCACCTTTTGCCAGCTCAGAATGCTTGTGCAACTACAAAGCAGTACTCCCTGTGACAACAGACTCAAACGTACTCCTGCTGCAGAATTTGAAACATGTACATGCACACTAAATAATGAGACAAAGTAAACAGCAGGTTTTAAACAGATGTATGTTGAATATAATGAACAACTGCATGAACTATGATGTTCCAGAAGATTTCACAACAGCAGTGCTACATTGAAGGGTACTTTTGAGTACACTTAAAGAAATTACAGGTTTTTATTAAGAAATTAATTTGAAAATGGAAATGAGATAGAGCCTGTGCTAAAATAAACCAACCAACCAAAGCTAAACAAAAGGCCCAAAAAACCCCAACAAAAACCAAAAAACCCTACCAAAACCCCAAGATTCCTGGCTAGACACATATAGCAGCACTTTACACTATAACTCAGATCTATTATTTAGTTAGTAAGCAGAGTAATTAATCCTTCTTCATTATGCATTAGTTATGCTAAGACTAAGTTTACTGCTAAGCAACAGTCTGCATTTTTGGAGGTCACTGATTGCACTCCAGTTATTTCTGAAAAGATCCACCACTGCCATGACAACTGTTGCAAGACAGAAAACAGTATTAACAAATGACAGTTCATGCAACAATAAAAGATCTTGAAAGCTATTTCTAGTGAACTGGACTGTGACACAAACCCACAAACTTCAACACACAAGTATGACAAAGCATACAAAATCATAACTATAAGTTATAAATAATTTTTCTGAAGCACTATCACTCCATGTCACACATCTTTAGCTAACAAAAGTCCTGGACAGACTGTTCAATTTTTCCACGTACTTTTTTCACCTTTTGGTGAATCTATGACTCCTTACCCTAAAGGCAGGATTTGCTCCATGTTCCAGTAAACACTTGACAGCTCCTGTACATAGGTTGAATGCAGCAATATGCAAAGCTGTTCCAAAATCAAAATCACTACAGGTGGCATCCACATCTGCAATTAAACATTACATGTAAGGTATGTAAGTCTGTCACATGAACATTTCACCCTACAGGTTCTATGAGAGGACATTCATTTTTATGCTTTATGTTAACATTTATACAGAGACACCACTATTCACATACTCAATGCATATGAGAAATTATTGTACTAGAATATCAAGCTTATCTTAATCTTTTTATTCATATAATGAACCAACCTGGAAGAGAAGCAATTACTTTCATTCATTTTATAATACTGATGATTTAACTGCAAAATTGTTGCTATAGGATGCCCGACCTAGTGTACAAAGATTAACACATTAGTAAAAATTAATGTTTTGGAAATAGTTCTATTAGCTGTCAAACGAGAACGATCTTCCATCAGGAAAACTGATCAAACTTCTGCTTTACATTGATTTAATTACTAACAGCCAAGAGCAAAGTTAGAGCTAGTGATTTTTACAATTTCTTTTTTCAAAGAATTGCACTCTGAAGGGTCTTGCACTGATCATCTGAAAATAGGAGCACTGCATTTGACTATAACAGATCTAGCATAATAAACATTTCTGTCAGTTGTTCCCAATGTATCTTTCAACCTGCTATGAAGTGACTACTGTTCCAGAAGACTGGAGTTTTAATGTCCATTAAGTCTTTGGCTCCTCTCATAAACTACACAAGAGAGATGGCAGTTTCAGTCAATTATGTATATGACTGTTAATTAAAAATTCCAGCTGATTTAATACACAAACCAAAAGCTAGCAAGTATTAGCAACAACACTCCAATTTGAAATACTGGTGAGGAACATAAGAATTTCTATAGGCCGTACAACCTCCTAACACTTTCCAGTATCCGTCACTGTCCCAAAGAACACTAGTCAGTCTCACAATATGATAAAGTATATCCCAACTGTATCAGCACCCTTATACAGTTATACTCAATTTTTGGGGACAAATAGAACACCAACATATAAAGACTATATAAATATATGTCTGCAGAAATATTTCAGCTTTATATATACTAATAAAGATCGACTCTGAAATTCATAAAGATGAAACACAAAAAATTTGTGATCAAATTTTCACAGTTTAACAATTGCACTAACATGAATACAAACAGCTATTTTAAATCTAATTGGCACATGTATGAAAAAGACTGCATTCACATGACCTTAACAACTACACATACAGATGTACCTTTTGTATATCAAATGGCAAATGACCGTTGCCAGCTGAAAACCAAGTAGAAGCTGTGTAGTTGCATACAATCATTGAAATTTCCAGGATTAATAAGGCTATCAAGTATTTTCTGAACACATAGGAAGAAATTTGCAGAAATACCGGTAAGTAACATCAGCTACTTAGTCAGCAACAGTTCCATCCAGTTACTTATTTATAAATAAGTAAAAAGTAATTAAGCAAAATAAGTAACAAGTAACTGATGCATAGATTTTTATTTTTAAAATTGGACTACTGTAACTTCCTCAGACTTCAAAGCTTCATGCTTTGAGTTTTCAAACAGTTTTCTTACAACTTTTTTCTATTTCTAAGTTGGTATAGTGCAGGTGACAAAAAGGAACACATACATATCAGATGTTACCCAGTAACTACCCCCGAACTATCTAGGAGAAAAGGTATGTGGCAATGGTCTGCCATTAGCAACCCATGCAGGTTTCAGTTATTGTTTAATAGGCATCACACAACGTTTCTAATTCTTAAGCCCTGAACAATTTTTACATTTAAAGCCTCTAAAAATTTAAGATCAAACTAGCTTACTGTTCTAACAATTGAGGAGCTAATCTGTACAAAGAATTTAATTGCAGAGCATCACAAAAGAAATAGATTAGCAGTAAATCAAAAGGAAACAACTGTGGGACCAGGTGTTTCACAAAGAGTGTGTCAAAGTCAGTACACCACTGTCTTAAAAACTTATTTATACATCAACAACCATCTTTTCTCCAGTTCAGTGTGGATCCATCCATGGCATATTTGCTTTCTGTGTACATCCTCCCTTCTCTGCAAACTGCCTGCCACAGTATGGAGCTAAAATTATTCTATTAATACAGACTGTCCATTGTTTTCATGTCACAGGGCAAACCATTTTCAACATTTTCTGAGATTAAAAAAAATAATAAAAATCATCTGCTTGTCCAAGAGTTGCCAACTGCCAAGGCATTTAACCAGAGTGGCCTCCTTCAAAATCTGAGCAAATTCCCACCTGTTCTGTAGGCACTGCACAGGAGGAGATAAGAACACCACATGGAAGTGAGATCAAAAAAGATCTAATCTGCTGATGCAAAATTATGTATGCCAGACTACTGAAATGTGATGTGAACTTTACTACTGAGCCATCTTAATTTGCCTTTCATTACCAGCCTACACTTGTTACCTCTTAAGCATGTCATACCAATATCAGCACAGTTTAACAATTACCTCCATGATAATTCAAGACATGGTAAGCAATCCTTATGTCCTCCAAAAACCTATCAGCTTTTCAGAAGTTCAAGACAGTTTTTAGCTACAAATAGCTAAAAAAGGGCATTAATCATTGTGCAAAATGGCACAATCAGAAGTGTATTCAGTAGAACAAATTAGCTTTCGTATAATCTTAGTATTAAAATTTTCTTACTGATTTTGACATCCTGACTACATCAGGAACAAATTGATCTAGTTCAGAATAACTTCTGTATTTCCATTTGCATTAGTATTAAATAGGGCTCCAATTACCAATCCTTCATGTCATAATTCCAAAAGATACTATCTATTTATGCCAGACATGAAAGTCAAACTGTTCCTTACACATGACCTCCAAGATAGCCAAGAAGTGGAAAAAATAAGCATGCCAAAATTGATTATGTCACTGGTTTGCCACATGCCACTAACAAAGTTCAACTTCTCCTTTACTCTTTCCTCGGTATTTCTAATGCACTTCTCAATGTTTAAGAAACTTTAAAAATCCTAACAACTTACCAGAATAGTTACATTTTTGGTTTTCTGCATGCATTCTTCTAGTTCTCAACAATTCAGAATTAACCTGTTTGCTTTCCATTCTATTAGATAGTTCTCTACCGTGTTACACAAAGCTCAAGTTTAAAAACCAGCAATGGAATCAGTGAATTAAGCACACACACAAAAAAATGTTAGGAGAAAAATGAATAAATGAAGCTAACCAAAAGAATAAGAAATAAGAAATAATTTATGTATAATGGAGAAATAAACCCCTCATTTAAAGAGCACCACACATGAGCTTAGGATCAACAGAGTAACAAAACACAGACAACTACATGAAACCAAACTAACAACACCTACCTTTTGGCTTTGCATTTTTCAAAATAACACTAATAAGTTCTGGAACATCAAAGTAGGCAGCATAATGCAAGGCATTCATATTTGTCCAGCGGCTGCGTAAACTGCTATCAGCACCCAAATCAATCAGCTGCTTTGCAAATTTTACAGCAGTTTCAACATCACCTGCAAGGAAAGTTTTAAAAAATATGCATTAGCACTTTATTTGACCTCAAAGAGCACGTACATGATTATGTGTCATACAATGTAGGTTAAACCCTCAAAGCTCACACCAGAACAATTACTCTGATTGTATTTTCAGAATTAGGATGCAGAAATCTTTGCTTTTTATCATAAAAGGCCAAAATATCTAATATAATCACAATACCTGTTTATCTCTAATTTAGATAACGTGTCACACATCAAAACTAGGTATTGCAGTATCTGATTGAAGAAAAAAAAATTATATGCCACATTGCTGACATTTATGATCTGCAAACACCAGAAAAGTGCACCTTTGCCAGATCTCTCTGGGAAGCAGCCCTCAAAAACAAAGGAGCCCAGGAAGGCTGGGCTTACTCTAGGAATGAAATTATGAAAGCACAGAAGCAGGGCGTCCCTATGTGCCGAAAAAGGAGGTGGCAGGGAAGAAGATGAGCCTGGTTGAGCAGGGAACTATTACAACAGCTCAGAAATAAAAGTGTCCATCAACTTTTGAAAAAAGGGCAGATAAGTCAGGAATATTCAAGGATATTTTAAGGACATATAGAAAGAGAATGAGAGATGCAAAAGTTCAGCTAGAACTTAAACTAAACATCTCTGCAAATGATAACAAAAAAGCTTTTATAAATACATAAATAATAAAAAAGGAGGGTGAGGGAAAATCTTCATTCCTTATTGGATGAGGGGGGGAACTTAGTAATGGAGGACAAGGAAAAGGCTGAGGTGCTTAACATGTTCTTCACCTCAATTTTTAAAAAGAAGACTAGCTACTCTCAGGACAACTGGGCTCCTGAGTTGGTAGACAGGGATGGGGAGTAGAATACCCCTCCTATATTCCAGGAGGAAGTAGTTAAGGACCTACTGTGCCACTTAGATTCCAACAAGTTCATGGGTCTGGATGGGATTCATCCTAGTGTGCTGAGGGAGCTGGTGGAAGAACTGGCTAAGCTGCTCTCCATCATTTATTACCGGTCCTGGATGACCAGGCAGGTCCCAGATGACTGGAGGCTGGCCAGCGTGACACCTATCCATAAGAAGGGCTGGAAGGAGGATCCAAGGAACTATAGGCCTGTCAGCCTGACCTTGGTGCCTGGCAAGGTTATGGAACAGATCATCCTGAGTGCCATCAAGCAGCATGTAGAAGACAACCGGGGGATCAGGTCCAGGCAACACTGGTTTAGGAAAGGAAGGTCCTGCCTGACCAATCTCATCTCCTTCTATGACTGGGTGACCTGCCTAGTGGATGAGGGGAAGGCTGTGGATATGCTCTACCTCGACTTCAGCAAGGCCTTTGACACAGTCTCCCACAGCATCCTCCTGGAGAAGCCAGCAATCCACGGCTTGGACAGGTGCACCCTTTGCTGGGTTAAAAACTGGCTAAAAACCAGGCCCAGAGAGGGATGGTGAATGGAGCTGCATCCAGCTGGTGTCTGGTGGCCAGCGGTGTCCCCCAGGGATCAGTACTGGGCCCAGTCCTATTCAACATCTTTATTGACGACCTGGATGTGGGGATTCAGTCCACCCTCAGTAAGTTCGCAGATGACATAAAGTTGAGGGGGGCGTGTCAATCTGCCAGAGGGTAGGAAGAAGCTGCAGAGGGACCTGGACAGGCTGGGTCGATGGGCCGAGGCCAATGGCATGAAATTCAACAAGACCAAGTGCAGGGCCCGGCACTTTGGCCACAACAACCCCAGGCAGCGCCACAGACTGAAGGAAGAGTGGCTGGAGAGCAGCCTGGCAGAGAGGGACCTGGGAGTGCTGGTTGGCAACTGGTTGAACATGAGCCAGCAGAGTACTCAGGTGGCTCAGAAGGCCAAGGGCATCCTGGCTTGTATCAGGAATAGTGTGGCCAGCAGGAGTAGGGATGTGATTCTCCCCCTGTACTCAGCAATGGTGGGGCCTCACCTCAAGTACTGTGTCCAGTTCTGGGGCCCTCACTGCAAGAAGGATATTGAGGTGCTGGGCGCTTTTTCCAGGCAACTAGCAACAAGACAAGAGGGCATGGCCTGAAGCTGCTCCAGGGGAAGTTTAGGTTGGATATTAGGAAGCACTTCCTCACGGAGAGGGTGATTAGACATACGAATGGACTTCCCAGGGAAGCAGTGGAGGCACCGTCCCTAGATGTGTTCAAGGAAAGGCTGGATGTGCAGTTAGTGCCATGGTCTAACCAAAGTGGTGGTGTTGGTCACAGGCTGGACTTGATCTTAAATGTCTTTTCCAGCCTTGGTGATTCTGTGATGTTAACTCAGAAATTTAGGTCTACCTCAGAGGATAACTGTGTTCAGGTCAACAAAAAAGTAATACAAAACAGAGAACCCAATGGGGGTGTTCAAAGAGAGGTAAATATGCTCTTATTTCCAGTAATTATGATCAGTATAATGAAAACAAAGATTGTGCTCTGACATGGTCTGGGTGAAAGAGAAAAAAAACCAACAAAACAACAGCCAGTCACCTCAGTGTTCTTGTTTCACTGATATAAGAAGTTCCGTAGCTTTCTTCACTGTTCCTACCTTAGTCTGAAATATACTTTGCTACATTAAATATACATTTAAACTGGTACTATTATTTCTAATATTTATACCACCAACCCAAATTACTCCCAACTGCCAATCACAACTGAGCTACACTTCTGTGTCTTCCTTATCTTCCTTTGTGATGGCCAGTAGAAACCCAAAACTCTAGAACTAAAAAAAAAAAAAAAAATCTCCTGAAAGGAAAGTTCTGTAATAATGTTAATTAGTCTTGGTGAATTAATTAGTTTTTTACATCTATAATGACATTTCTCTACTCACCAATACCATGAGCACCTGATTTGCAAGTGTAATGCAAGAGAGTCATATCAGTCAGTCCATCTCTGTCATTCACATTGCAACCCTTTTTAATGATCTGAAAGACAAGTGGAAAACAAGTACATTTTAGCTCCAGCACCTCTCTGACATCAGTATTATTTAGGAAGTCATTTCAGATATATTGACTCCTGGATTCATTTCAATGGCTAATAACAAAGAAGCCTGCCAGCATTGACTGTAACTGCAGAAATGAGCAACATTCACAGAAGCAGTAAATAGTATTATATTACTATCATTAACCTTAGTTGTTTACAGATTTTAAAACCTTTTTATATTATTACTTCTAACATGCTGAAAAGTTAACTGCTTAACTAAACTACAAGTGACATATTTCACGAAGTCTCTCTCTTTGTTCTTTGATCTCCCAAAAATCCTACCCTTCCCTCCCCAATAAGAAACCCCCCATTTAACCTACAGTAGGAAGAATCTTTACTATGCTTCCCCATCTGTCTAGAAAAGCCAGAAGAAAAATACGAAAGCAGAATAGAAATGTGGAATAGTAACACCCAGAAACAAGATGTCTTCTGAAAGTAGCCTACTGCAGGTTGCAAAGAGACTTCAGTTTCTAACTCCTTTTGTGCCTTGGAAACATCGTCCTTAAGCTCAGCCTTCACTGTAACTTGGTATACTTGTAGTTACTGCTAAGCAGGACATTGGAACACCAACCTGAAGGGTCTCTAGAAACAACTGCTTTGAAAAGAAACATTGTTCCTACCATCTATCCAAATGTACTGAATTTTTACCCATCATCTTTCGTTTTTCAAACGAAAGCTGATGACATGTGGAATACAAGGCACTGACCAATAACTACTTGTTAAAAGGCAGAAACTGCATCTTGTGTTTATGAGTAGTTCTGCCTCTGAATTAAGTGGTTCTATTAGTTGTCAACATAGTATTTCTTTAACACTGAAAGCATTCAAGGATCTTC